AGAAAAAGACGTTTTCCGTTGTATTCTTCCGACTGTATAGTCGACTCAACACTGGCTCTAAAGAAGATCAATGTGTGATAAATATGTGATACATATATTCAGTCTCTCTTTTCAACACATTCTCTCATAGAATCCATTCAATTCTGTTCACCACTTATGCTATTTATTTACAAACTTTTACTTAAACAAAAACATAATTGAATAAATGATATTTAATCATTATTTTCATAACATTTTAATATTATTATTAATATGGTGTTAACTTATTTAAATTTCATAATTAATTTTACAAATTTATTGGTAAAAATGTTTTAAAATCACGATTTTTACGCACATTATTTTGATGGTAAAAATATACGAAAAAATTGAATGCAATTATAAAAGGATGAAAAGTTGATTGAAAATATATATAATTTATTAAGCGACGTATAAATAGAAATAAGATTTTTCATTGAGATTGACAACAGAATAGTGAGAGAGAAATATATATACAGAGAGTTCGAGGAATAGTATTGTGTTGAGTGATTGTGAATGTGTTGGTTGTGTTGGTTGTGTGCGCGCATGTCGTCTATAATAGTGTTCATCAATGATTAGAAGACTGGATGTATTGTAAACTCAATTTGGGATAGAGTTTGAGCGCATCATCTCATCATTGATCGCAAATTCCTTTTGTTTGTTATTCCTGTGAGAAATGTTAGCAAATGTACAGAAACTGACTTTTCATATATTAGACACTACTCTATGTTTCAGTCACGACATGAAAGCATTACAAATGGTTTACTAATTTATTTCGACGATTCCTTGTCGACAATCAAAATATTTTGTCCGCTTATAATGGACTCGAAGTCACTTTAAAATATTATTTTTCAAAAGAGATTTCTTTAAATCATTTACAAATGATTACATAATAAACAATAACTCACGGAATAAATGCAAAAAATCAAAACAATAACTTTAAATAGTAATATCGTTTGACATTTTATTTTGGACCATATTTAATTTAAAATAAACTCAACTTTAATTTATATTTTATCATAATTCATTATTATAATAAGAACGTGTCATTATAGTTAGGTATAACTAAAAGGTATAATTAAATTTATGTTTTCATTATAATTATTTTATTTATCAATTTGTGCTTGGTATATTGTAAAATATAGTATATTAATTACATAATACGGATGATATTTGAGATAATAATCAAAATAAAACTTTAAAATAGAATTTGAAAAAATAATAATTAACGATATTAATATTAAATAAATATCTGTTGCATATATTAAAGCAATTACTATAATCTAGCCATCGATTATTTAACTGATCATAAAATTGATTTATTTATGTGAACCAAAAGATGAAGGAATAGTATTTGTGTGGTTTCCTATGAATTGATTGTTTTGGTGTGACATTTGTTCAATTGATAAAAGTCGACATACAGTCGACTATACAGTATATCCTTATTGTAACTGTATTTACAATATATGACATCAATTTGACACAAAACTTAATTACAACTAATAGAAAAAGATTTATCACATCAACACTTTGAATACTTAACGCAATCAATAAATTGTCATTAAATTAAAATATTTATTGTTTATTCAAGTGATAAATGATTTTAGATTCTTCATAAAACATGCTATACTAACATTAAAAAGTGAAATTAAAAAATCTTTTTTATTTCCAGTAAATAATAATTTTAATAAAAGCTAATATATAACATTTATAAATCAAAATATACAAGTTTAGTAGTAGTTTAACAATTGGATAAAATATATAAATTGGTTTATATGCACAGACAACTGATTATTAAAAGAAAGTGGAATCTCATATATTTTAACCATTATTCTCAATCAACATTGAAATATTTGTAATAAAATTACAATAACTTTTTGACATTGTTAGTTCTCTATTAATAGTAAATACAAATATTATTCATTCAACATAATGTAAGTATAACTACAACATATCAATATAAACATTTTGTGATATAAATAATACATTAAATTACTGATCATTTATGGATTTAATGGAATTTTTGCGTATTGACATTAAAGGTTGCTTTAAAACATGATGGTGAATATCTAAATCGTGTTAATTTTGAGTATAAAATTAAAGTTGCAATTGATATTTTAAATCAAATACAATCATCAAACAAAGTAAATTTTTGTTTTGATAAAATAAAACTAAAACTTTAATTGTATTTATTATTAAATTATTTCAATATGTTCATTGAAATATTTAATCTGTATATAATAATTAATCTACAAGATTTCGTTACTTCAGGTCAATTATTATAATAGCTGTAAATTATGTATATATTAATTACCAAATATTTGTGATTTTTATCATTATTTATTATATTTTAATCAATTATTAGAACTTGATATATATTCAAAGAAAATTAATAATTATTATATAAATAAGGTAATTTTAGCATATTACAATGTCTACAATAATTTGTCTTTATTATATTAATAATTAATTTAAAATAACGTCAAAACATTTTTATATTCCGTTATTTAAATATATTATTTAAATGCATACAAAAATGTATAAAAAGTATTACATATAAATGTTTTAATATTTATGTTACAAACTTGTAATGTAATACAGAATAAAAAGAAATGTCAGTTAAAAGTTTGCTTCAATTATTATTAGTTTTTAAATCTGTAAGAATTTCATTCAAATCTATATTTTAACATTTATATTAATGTACAGTATATTTGTGTTGTAATTGTAGTCATCTCTACGAATGGCCACAAAAGAGGAGAACAGAAAATGGTTGAACGGAAGGGTTCCGTATGTAATATCGGACACATTTTCGGCCAACAATAAGGCATTAATATTGAGTGCAATTGAAAACTTCAAAAATAATACATGTGTGACATTTGAGAGGAGAACCCCTCAAGACGTGGATTACGTACTAATAACTGGAGGACAGGGATGTAATTCACCGGTTGGTCGTCAGGGAAGGGCACAGAATGTGACTTTGGGTGAGGGATGCCTTTATTTGCATACAATTCTTCATGAATTGATGCATTCAATTGGTTTTCTTCACGAACACCAACGCTATGATAGAGACGATTATATTGTCATTCATTGGCAAAACATCAGAAGAGGTATTCATACAAATATGTCTTTGCTTTAAATTTTTAATTAAAATACTTAAACAATTGTTGAAATAATTTTATTGTATTATATGACTCATAGATTATGACGTTATGGGGTTTTAAATAGTTTTATCAATGATATCATAACAGATGGTAAATTTCTAAATTATATTATAAATCACAGAATTATTATAATGAACATTGAATCTGTACATGGTCAAATTAGCATATGTTTAAATGACCTTAAAATTCCTATAATTTATATTAATGACATTATGTAAAGACTTTATTTACGTTATGTAAAATTATGTAAGATGAACAAGTGCAGGTGCAGGGTTGAGACAATTAACAGAATAAAATAATTTATTGTTAATTAATTATAGATGATAAAAATCGAAACTTTTATCTGTGATGAGTATTATTGATTGGTAAAACATTTATTATCAAACATTGTTATAAATAAATCATGTCTTAAAAACATATTTATATTGTAATAAAAATATAAATATTTAATTTGAATCTAAAAGGAATGGAATATGAGTTCAATAAAATAGAAAGAAGTAATTCAACGGATTTAGAGCTGGAATACGATTACAAGAGTGTTATGCAATACGAAGGAACAGCTTTTTCCAAGAATGCCAGACCAACTGTAAGACACTTATTATTGTCTAATATTTGAATTCAATTGTATTTATTATGTGATCGTTGAGATGGAGGCCAAACAAAATGCAACAAAACTTGGCTCAGAGTTAGGATTCAGTGAATTGGATAAAATCAGAATCAATCGCTTTTACGGATGTTTCAAAAATTCAACACAAAATAATCAAACAGTTCTGACAAATGACCGCAATTTAAAGTAAAAGTTATTGTATTATTCATTATTAATTTTAATCAACATTTATATTTAGTAATCTAATTAATAATTAAAACAAATGTTATGACATTACTTAATAATCTAATAATATTAGATATATTATATCAATATTAAAAGTATTTTTTAAACAGTTGTTCAAAATTAAAATGGAGTTCATTTGATTCAAATGGTGCGCAAAATTCACTGGTAATCGGGGGTAAAGACTCGTTTGGAAATACATTTTACGTCTGCAGAGCTCTCATCAATAATCGTATAATTGCGGGCCATATGTATGACGGCATGTGTTATGTATTGAATAGGGAACGAGAATTGGAGATTGGTCAATTTCAAGTGTTAACACATTTTACAAACGCATATAAATGGCAATACGTGTCACCGAAGAGACAATACCTGCCATCAAATGCTATAATAGGAGGTAAAGACGAGAAATTAATAGATGGCAATCAAACGACTTATATCGGGAGATGTCTTCTCAAATACTTCAACTACACGGTCACAGTTATCGGAGCCTTAGATTACGCCAAAGATTCATTGGGTATTTTGAAGGTCCCATTCAATGGCTTAGAAATTAAATGTTATGAATTTGAAGTTTTGTTATGCAATAATTATACCATTTAATATATTGTTATATCGAAATTTTATGATATTTGAATTGTTCATAGATTCTGAAGATTACTTGTTAGTTTATTTTGAAACTAATAGCAATTGCTAAATATTAATATTAAATATAAAATACAGCAAATTTTTGTGTAAATTTAAGTTATAGTAATACAACTGTATGCAAATATATTATTTTAATATAAGCCATTTTAAAACTGTACGAGCTCATTTTACAATTTCAGCTTTGGTTTATTAAAACATTAAAAATAGTCATGAATTTAATTGTGTTTAATATTTTTAAAAAGGATTTCTCATAAAGTTATACAGTTGTAAAGTTTTACACCATTTTTAAATAAAAATGTGTTTGATTGAGATAAAGTTGATATTGTGTTAGTCAAGTGCTGAGCAAATGAGTCCCTCCGCTATATATTTAGATTTCAAGTGGAGATAATGTCGAAGTCGTTGATCCGCTCTTTGCTATATTAAATACAAAACAATATTTTCAAACAAATAACGAAATGATAACATAATTATATAAATACAAAATATTACCAAAATTTGTTGTTTGGTATTATTATAAGGCATTTCATCAGTCCTGAGACCAAACATAATAAAAAACATTTGTTGAAATAATAGAAACACTTTGGCCTCAATCACCAAATGTTTGATTGTATTCACACTATTATCACCATATTGATTACCATGTATTTTAATATTTTCATCATGGTAACCGATCATAAACTGTTCGATTTCTAAATCAGAAACCCTTCCACACACTTCTTGGGCATCAGTTCTGCCCCAGTCTTCAAAAATAGCCCCAAAATCAAAGCCCCGATAAGAATAACACGAATATTCAAAATCGCAAAAAGCAATAGCTATTGAATTGTCGTTGTTTTGGTCAATCTCTCTGACCATTATATTGGGTCCTCTGAAGTCATTGTGTGAAAATACAAGAGGACTGTTGGTTGCCTTCAGACACTTCTTCAACCAATTGATCTCATCTTTTAAATTAGTATTCAAAAGAGTGGTTGCATTCACTTCTCTAAACATTTCAGTCAATGGAAACAATTCATATGCTTTCGTATAAAAGTCGTCCAAAAACTTTGAAAACCAGTTCTCGTTTCTGGCAATCGGGACATCCATTGAATGAAATGTAGCCAACATTCGCGACAGTTTGTCCACATATTTACCATCACTTTCCTCTTTCAGACCAAATGAATGAGACTGTTATCACAAATGTACACATTATAACACATTTCAAATTTTAATTTCTATTATAATTACTTTAATATATTCCTCTATATTTCCACGACTGAAGAACGCGTACTGTTTTGGACCCAAATTATGTTTCGCTGCCAACAAATTGATGACAATATCATTGAAACGATCGTTTTCTGTGTAATTTGAAATCCATTTTTTGCCATAACATTTGACCGCAACTTCTTGTGGTTCGTTCCCTATTGTCGCGCATTGAGAAGAGAGACCGCAATAGTATATCTGATTAGTGAATCCACCCGTAATTCGTCTAATATTCAGTTGATTTTCACTTATTTCAGACCAAATGCCGCCTAAATATTGGGAACAAAGATTACGACATTCGGTTTGAATGTCTTCGGGAGTCTCTCCTCTACGCCATTGTTTGCGTTTAGTCTCGTAATCGCATTCTTCGTCATTCATATTCATTTGTGGCTTAATTTATGTGTTTCTCATTCAATACATTGACTTTATATATGTTGTTAACATAAAAACATAAACTAAATGTCATTTAAAATCAATTTAATCTTAATATATAATTCAATAACTTCTATGAACTATCGATATTTGTTTATAATAAGTTACATATGCATATGAATTGATTATAAAGTTAGTGAATCATATCATGTATAGACCAATAATAACATGCAATTTGACCACAATTCGTATTCAGTTAATCACATGTATAAAGATCAATTAATCACATCACTTTATATTATTGCTACACATTTATATATCAATATTAAGCTAATCAATATTCAAAGTACTGCACAGTATTATACTTTAATCAATTTAAATCTAGATTAAAAATTGAGTATTGATTGAACACAAAGTGCATGAATTGGCAAATATTTATTTATTAAGGATTTAATAAACAAAATATTAATAAAATTCAAATCAACTTAAATGTCAAAAATAGCAAATAATTAATTATTTTCATCAAAATTATAAAATACGAAATAAAATTTACAAAAAATATTGTCATAAACTTCTCTTCAGTTAAATATACAAAATCACAAAATATTTCAGAGAAACTAAAAGATAGGACACAAGAAGTGCTCCCAAATTGAGACCAATCGAGAAAAACATCAATTTTAGTGAACAAATAGTTTGCGTGAATGAGTGATGTCTTCGATGTCTTCGGTGGCGGCGATGAACTGATCTCTAATTGATATGAACGACATTCACGCTGTCATCGCATTTCATGACGATATCGTTGAGCCGTTTATTCTCTTGGATCTGGTCTTCGATGGACTCGTAATAGTATTTGCGTTTCTGTCGGCAATCGGTTCCGCACTTATAAGACCTGCACTTCTTGTTCGGACACT